AGATGGTTCTCTCCCCCCTAGCGGTAAAAACCCCCGGAAACGGCCGGCCTCTACACTCGGGCGAGAGTGCAGAGCTTCAGCTCAGATGAAGGAAGTTGCCCATAAAATAAAACTAAAATGTAGATGAAAATAATATGTAGGGGAGAGAAGAAAAACAAGAGAAACTTGTTGTATATTTTCCTTATTGTTTTAAGCTCAACACACGGATATATATATATATATATAGGGTTGGAAAAGACGTTACAAAACCCGTAATTAATTCTGTAACGTTCGTCATAAATTTTGTAACGTTCCCCATAATTATATGGCCGTTACACATATTTTTAATTGCTAATTAAAACATGTTTTAATTATAAAACTTTATTACTATTCATGAAGGCAAAATTGTCTTTTCTTAACAAAATATCTAACAGTCTCCCCCAAAAGGCAATATTGACTGAAAACTCAGAAATCAATAAATAAATCACAAAAATCATAAAACAATTATAGGTTGGGCAACCTTTCGTATCGTGAGTTCGGGAGAGGTAGCTTCCGGCTTTGAACCTTTCCTTAGTGAGTTCATCGCCACCTGAGGGACATAATGGACTAGGCCTTGAATTAGGCCCATTTAATCAGGTATTGATGAAAACACACACAATACGCTTCATCTATTGAGCAAAGCGGGTTGAGCGTTAAAGGCCATGCTCACAATAAACCGACTCATGAGAGTTTTTAGGGGTTAGCCCAGCCCCCCCTAACCGCGGCCATCACGGTTCCTCTCACGTAGGTAAGTCCTCAAATGGTACTACAGCTGTTTATTTAATAACCCCCACAATACACACGTTGGACTTATTAAGAGTAAAACTCAGCCTAGCCAGCTGTATCATAAGAGCATCGTCATCATAGAGAAGGGGTAGTAGCAAATGCTACATAATGATATATAAATATATCTAGGTCGATGCTCCACACGAGTGTCACTAGTCCAGCTTGTTTGTACCATATTGAACCGACATAGGGACTACGTCTCCAAATAAGGGTTGGGTTGCCGCTGTCAGTGACATCATCTATGGGCTTAACCCCATCTCCCTCGATGAATCCATGACCACACTCCTGGATAATCCCTTAGTCAAATGATCATCAAGATTCTTTTCACAGACTTTACCAAGTCTAGAATCATAACTTTGCCTAGCAGGCGTTGTATTTATTAATCAAGTTCTTATTTTGTAATTAGTCCATCATATTGTTTAAAATTGACATTAGGTCATGATCTATGATCATAAAAGATCATAGTAGCTATGTCTGAAGAGATTGACCTTAATATCTGAACATTTCAAACTAATGTGGAACTAAAAATTCTGCAGTTATGCATATGCACATACATGAATGAAATTAATAATAAATACATGCAGAGCATAATAGGATTTCGTATCTTAAAATATATTTTCGTATCTTAAAATATATTTTCGTATCTTAAAATATATTTCATATTTCATAATTCAAATGCATAAAAATTTTAAATTATTCTATTATAAAAGGTTACAAATTGGTTGCCTACAAAGGAGACCATCCAAATTTAAATCGGTTGCCTACAAATGAGACCTTCCAAATTTAAATTGGTTGTCTACAAATGAGACCTTCAAAATTTATGTTGCCATTTTCTAGTACCACCTCTTATACAAATAATAATAATAATAATAATAATAATTGTACATACGTGCTTTAAATTTTTCAAGTGCATTCTTGCAGAATTATTTTCATAATTCCAGTCCTCTTATTCCAAACCAAAAACTCCTAAAGTGAAAAGATTAAAGTTTTACCCGGGGAGTTAGCCAGGTAAGGATAGTAATAGAGGTTGATCAAAGATCAATTAAGTACCTCGTTCCTTGCAGAGCGCGTTACGCAACCCTTAAACCTTGCCTTAGACACCAACTAATCCAAGAAAACTTGAATCGGTTCACTCAATGAGTTTTTGTTTCTTAACAGAATATAGAAACTTTAAAATATTTCCTGTAATCATTTAAAATGCCTAGCAATTATACTGCAAACATATGTTGGATAAGGCCGAGGAGGGGTTTACCTATTGATGTTCGAACCTCATGATTTTCATGTCTTGAGAGTAAAAACTCATCTGCTGCAGACAACTGCCACTTAAGTTGCTGAACAAATCTGCATTCACTTTTACCACCTTCTGTACTAAGCTTATTAGATGCATAAGCACTCCAAAATATGGAATTATTAATAATAGAAAGTACCATATTGATAGGTTAAAGAAATGAAAGCATTAAACCATGAAAAAAAAAAACAATCCAGATATTTCAAAACATCTATGCATCCAGAGTTTGTTCTCTTTATTCTTGTCAAAACCATGCATATGAAATTTTTTAAGAATAAAAATATACACCGCTGCAAATTTATAGCATGTTTCAAATGCGTGCATATTCACTAGCACAAGGGGATAATGGTAGGTTTTAGAAACCAAATTTTCATAGAACAGTAATTGTATTTAATTTTATGAATAAAAAAAAATAATTCACTGATGAACAGTGCTATATGTAAGCATTAAGCAGATTTTTTTAAAATAAAATGAACATTAAAACTGTTTTTAAATTAACAATAATGTTTTTTTTAATAAATAAATAAACAGTAACATCCTTTAAAAAATGAACAGTAACGTTCATTAAAATGAATGAACAGTAACACCGTTTTTAAAGATGAACAGTAACGTTCATTAAAATAAATGAACGGTAACATTTTTTTTTAAAACGAACAGTAAAGTTTTTTTAAACATTAAAAACTGTTTTAAATGAACAGTAATGTTTTTAAGTAAAATTAAAACCTGTTTTTTAATGAACAGTATTTTTTTGGAATGAACAGTAACAGTTATATTTTTTTTCAGCTTTTATAACATCAAATCAATAATACTAATAGATAAACAAATATATAATTAAAGCAATTACATTTTCTTTGTGTTAACAACAACTATAAAATTCCTCTGTTTTTTTTTTGTGTAAACAGTAACAAAAACTTTTTTTTAAACAAAAAGTTAATCAATAGATAAGCAATTTTCTTTTTTTTTAAATCGGGTGAACAGTAACCATCTCGAATGAACAGTAACTTTAAAACTTATTTTTCCGGATTTAAATCAAAAGCTATAAACATCTCAATCTTCTAGATTGTTGGAAATTTATCAATTAATTAATATTATAGCATGAAATAAATCTGAAATCAAAATAAATAAGAGATAAGAAAATCAGGCCTGAACGGGAGCAATCGTGTATTCACTGCCCTAGAAGATTGAGAACCCGCCTATCGCCCTGGCGCAGATGGTTCTCTCCCCCCTAGCGGTAAAAACCCCCGGAAACGGCCGGCCTCTACACTCGGGCGAGAGTGCAGAGCTTCAGCTCAGATGAAGGAAGTTGCCCATAAAATAAAACTAAAATGTAGATGAAAATAATATGTAGGGGAGAGAAGAAAAACAAGAGAATTGTTGTATATTTTTTCTTTATTATTTTGAGCTCAACATATGGATATATATATAGGGTTGGAAAAGACGTTACAAAACCCGTAATTAATTCCGTAACGTTCGTCATAAATTTTTGTAACGTTCCCCATAATTATAAAACCGTTACACATATAAATCCCATCAATTTTTTTTCAAAATTTGTAATCTGATTTTTTTTTTTTTTTTTGTAATCATCAACAAATTGTGCTTAACTTATTCTCTTATGGTGTGTTTGACAACTCACTAAAAATGGACCACACTTATTCTTTAAACTGGTTTTGAAAAAAAGGGGGTTTAGTTGCGGATCAACTTTCTAAGGACCAACTCTCTATGGTTCACAACTAATGCAGTTTAGAGGCTCAAAAATGAACTGAAGTACACTAGTTTGCCTTTGGACTAGTTTTTACCGATCAACAATATATAGGGTCTAAAATTAGACCACATTCAAAACTGACCGGACCGGGAGAGCTGTCAATCACACTCTCATAATCAATCCTATGACTGCTCATTTGGTCCCCCCATCTAAGTTTAATAAGTCTTGTGCGAGACATGGTCCACGTCACCTTATCTCTCCTCGTTCGAGTAACGTTAACACCATATCCCATGCCACAGCACCATTATTACAAACTAAACTAGATTTAATTAATGGGGGTTTGTGTTCAACCCAAATCCTAACCCCACCGTCTTTTATTAGATTCCCACTAGGGACACACCATGAACCACACTCTCAACCATAACCCTACATTCTCTATAGTGTTAGTGGGTCATGCATGATATTCATGCAAGACCCACTAACACTATAGAGAGTGTTAGGGTGTGGTTGAGGGTGTGGTTCATGGTGTGCCCTAGCATTATTATTTTTATTATGCTCACAAACA